AGGCTTCTTTTTTTTTTTTTTTTATTACAAAAAGGCATTCCCCAAACTGAAAATGCAATAAAAACTTATACAATCCATATTAATTGTGCAACCTGTTCTACAAGCAAATAAATAAGTACATAACCAGCATCAAACCATGTAATTAAGTTCAAGAATCAAGCGTGTCCGAATAATCTTTTATAGTTGTCAATTAACCTGAAACTTATAAAAATACTTCTATGTTCAACACGGACCATGTTAATGTTAATTATGAACAATCTATATGACAAGAAAAAGAAAAACTCCAATAATAGTGCTGAAAAAATAAAAAGAAATCCCATTAAACGAAAATAAACTCACAATTAGAGATTAACCATCTTTCACTTTGGTTTACTCAGTAAGATATCCCACTAAACGATGTTGTGGGTGAACTAATCTACCACAGCCACACAGGAAGACTGGACCTAATGTTTCAAACTCGCATTGCCATTAAATGAAGAAGACAAGTTCGGATGGCTGAAAATCATTTCCAGAAATCATTTTCCAGTGAACCAAACGTACAGATTCTAAATTTAAAATTAGTACAACTAATTAATACTAGTAGCAATTCTCAACCAAATAAATTCCCAGTATTTCCTCTCTTTTTTTTTTTTTTTCTCCGTTTATGTCTATCTTCTTGATAAAAATGATCTTGATTTAAATTGTCTTTTTCTGTCCTTTGTTTATCTTTTGGTCGGAATTTAATGATGGAGGAAATCAGAGTTACTTAGGGTTAGGAGGCAAGGTTCAATGACGTAATTGTTGCACCATCCGTGATCTAGTTTTCTTTCTCTTTTTTTGTTGTCTATCTTGACTTATAAACAAAGCTTTTGTATTTATTGAGTCTACACAAGGAATTCTTTAAGGGGCACGTTTTTATAGAGAATAAGGTAGAAAATCGTTTTTCTTATGCTATAATTAAAGCCTAATTACGGGGTAAGTTCTCCTTCTATCTTGTTTACTGTTGATTTCATATTGCCCTATTTAACTCGCTAAGTTTTGGTGGCATTTTTGTGCTGCAGACTGTTTCCCAGATTGTTAGCTGCTTGTATTGGAGGATGCGTATCTAGAGTTTGGCTACTGTCAAGCCTTCCTCTTCTCTCCCAGGTGTGGCTGCAGATTCTGCACTCTTCACATCTTATATTCTGTTTTTTTGCTTG